ATCATCTGACATACCTCGCGAAAAAACACTCGAGACCTGTTGCTTGGAGAAGGCGTGAGCTGCTTTACCACCTCCAGAGACGGCACTCTCGGCCCATTCCTTCCACTTAGCCAGCTGCGAGGCCGCATCCAGCCGCTGGCGACGAGTGCACTCTTTGCAGATGGCCCCATTGACGTCGTCGTTCCAGGATCCTCCCCCCGATGCCGCCATAACCATGGTGTGCAACTGGGCCTTGGTGGGCCCCTCTTCAGTCAGCTGGAGGTCATCCAAAATGTCGAACAGCTTAAGCTTCCAGGATCCCAAAAGAGCTCTCCCCTTGGCGCCTGGGTTCCCAGCACTGATAGCTTTTGCCTTCCTGAGCAGGGCCTCGAACGAGATCCAGCAGACAGTCTGCTTCGAGAAACGCCGACGGTGATCTCGCTCAAGCAGCGCATCTAAAGGAACTTTCCGAGACTGGGGCCCAGCGGAGCGACCAACGTACCCTTTCTGATCACATATCCCATGAATTTCAACCAGGCGAGCTTCGGCTTCCCCGAACCACTCCCGAGCTAGCGAGTCCAAATCTGTGTCTAGAGGGTCGCTCCATTGGACGTCCCTTTCCTGCGGCAGCGGCCCCATGAGCGCGGTGCTGAACGGCTTGAAACGCGTCTGCTGCTGGACCACAGCCGTCTGGCAGAGGTTACCCAACCGAAGCAGCACAGGGCAATGGGGAAAAAGCGGCGCTCCTCGGATAGCCTGGACATCCTTAATGCATGAACTGATGGCCGATGAAACGACGAAGTAGTCTAGCTCCCTTCCTCCTCCGTCATGCTCCGTCAGCTCCTCCTCCTCCATATCTTCTCCCGTGGCAGTCCTGGGAGCGCAGGCCGAGCAAGTTGCCTGGCCAGGAGCGGCTAGCACACCGTGCACATGCTGTATCCAACCTGATAGCTGGAGAGCCGCGGGCGTGAAGTTCCAATCACCTTGCACAACCCACGGCCGCTTACTGCACAATAGGAGCGCTCCCAACACTTCCAAAATCTCTAGATTCTCGCCCGTCACGCCTATGTCGTTGACAAGATAGACACTGTAGATCTCAAGGCCCTGGTCGAACCCCGCATTGATGACCCGACCTACGATCCTCCCGTCGAACCTGCCCACTCCTGGAAGATCCAAGGGCCTCGAAGCAATCTCCCCAGCAACCAAAATACCGACTCCTCCAGAGCTTTGCAGGGGCCCGTCGCCAGTGCTGAGGGCCTTCCCGAGGGACATCTGGTACCCGTTCCTGCGGGCCCAACTCTGGGCCGAAATGATCTTGTCGGGGGACTTCAACCTAGTCTCCTGGAGCGTGACCACCTGGAACTTGCTTTGGACCAAACCCCAAGAAGCCGCCCCAGACCCTCCGACGTCTGCTTGATCTCGGACCCAGTTCACTACAGTGTCTGCCGTAGACCAGCTGTTGACATTGGCTCCAAAAACGCACAAGTCAGCAGATCCCCGCGCTACACCAGAGTCACGATCGCCCGCGAGAAGATTACGAGCGGGAGGTTCTTCCGCCCTCCCGTCGGATTTCAACCGACGTATTTTCGAATCCGCATCGGGCTCCACTTGGGGACGAGGGTAGCCACGCACACTGCCAGCCAATCTAACTTCTGCGTCAGAAAGCTGCGCCAGCAAAACATCCTGCCCCCCCTCCCCACGCGCTGAGTCCCCCGCCTCCCGTGGAAAGGGTGCCCTGGGGGTGGGAAGGGCAGGTGGCGACGACTGTTGCGTCCTAACGCCACGCGAAGAGCAAGCCGTCGCAGCCGAAGAAGCAGACCCCGCTGCCGAAGATGGCGACGCCCTCTGAGCTGACCATGTCCCCAACCCCGAGGAGCGGGCCAGTTGGGGATACCCCGCATGAGCCTGCAATACCGATGACGCCGAAGGGCCGCTGCAGGCACTCGAACTCCCCGTGCATGCGGGCAGGGGGGTTCGACGAACGGGGGCTGAATCCCCTGCCCCCCTGCCCTTCGGGCCGAGGCCCCGTCGCGGCCGAGCCACGTGCAGCCCCAGCGCAGGCCAAGCCTGGAAGTCAAGAGCGCCCCCAGCGCCGGCTTGGGCCAAGCCTCCGCGACGCCAAATCGGCTCAGCCAGAGCCCCCGAAAGGGCCTGCACAGGCCGCGGGAGCAGCGACGGCACCGCGAAGCCGATCTCCTCCGACCAGTCGACGTCCACGACGTTGTGGTCCCAGAAGCGCTCGAGGTCGTCAAAGCCTCCGCGCTCGTTTGATCCCCAAGGCTGCCGCAGCCTGGGCATACTTGCGCTTGGCGGCCTCCTGAGCTTCTCCTGGGGAAGCTTGCCTGAGCTCCTCAGCGGCCTTCCTGAGGTCTTCTGTGCGCGACTCGATGTCGATGTCGTCTTGGCCCAGCAGCTCCATGTCGATGTCGTCTCCGTCTCCATCAGCTGCAGGGATGCTTTCACCTCCTCGCGCCCCTTCGGCACGGCCAGCTCCAGGAGCTCCTTCGCCGCCAGGAGGAGCGTTGCCGCCTGGACCGCCAGGATGCTGAGCAGGAGCACCTCGAGCGGCCACCGCTTCCTTCTGGCGCTTGTCCAGCACGGCCAAAGCTGCCCTGACCTCGGCGTCTTCGTGCAGCGACTCGTCCAAGGCGGCCTCGGTGATCTTGACCAGGTCCCCAAGGTCTGAGGCAGACACCTTAGCATAGACACCTTCAGCTTGTGACAGCTCGCGGCGAAGCGACTCCACAGAGGCCTTGATGGCTGCCTCTTCCTCATCGAGGGCAGCTCGACGCTCTTGAAGCTTGCGCAGCTGCTGCTCGAACTTCTCGTTCTTCTTCCGCAAGTTCTCGACCCGCCAGCGAGCCGTGACCACGGAAGGCGGGTGCTCGGCGACCTCGCGCTGCTGCGCAGCCGTGACAGAGGCCACCAGCTCGCCCTGGATGCCCTTGGCCTGCAGGAAGTTGATGACCTCCTTGAAGGACGGGCCACCGTTGCCGCTGCCGCCGCCACTGCCTGGAGGGGCAGACTGAACTTGCTGCTTGTTGTCCTTCTCCTTGTCCTTGAGCAGGGCGTCCAGCTGCTTTTGCATGGCTTGGATGGTCTTGGCCTGGGCGTCGCCTGGACCACCTGGCGGGCCATTGGCCCACCGACCCTTCCCTCCATTGGCTGCAGCTGAGCTCCCCTTTCCGCCTCCCTTAGCGCGGTTGGCGGCAGCTTGGGCCGCCACGAGCACGCGTTGGGGGCAGGAATTTCCACATCCTCGGCACTTGACCCTGCTTGCCCAGTTGTCAAATGCCCCGCACTTGCCACATCCCCAGAGGGGGAGATGCGGCCCTGGAAGCACATCGGGCCCCATCCACGACAGCGAAAGCAGTGGACGGGGGAAAGCTTGGCTCGCGAACGCGGCGCCTCTCTGAAGTACGCGTCCGCAACTCTCAAAACCTGAGAGCAGAAAGGCTAGGAGGCAGAGGAGGAGGAGGAGAAGGAGGAAGAGGAGGAGGAGGAGGAGGAGGAGGAGGAGGAGGAGGAGAAGGTTTCACGAGCTCCCAGGGGGGCCGCGTTTGCACTTGGCTTGGGGTCGGACCCACCCCTGGCACGCCCTGCCTTCGAGACCTTAAACCCTGGTTTGCAGCACGTGCGGTTTCTTCGGTCAGGCTGAGCTCAGGGGCTTGGGGGAAGAGTGCAAACTTCCTGTGTCTACGGCCAGGCGCGAGTGTCTGGACATGATACGTCGCGGCCTGTTTCCGAAACGCTGAACTTCAAGCCTGGTTATCACTACGTGATGGCGGAAGTCCTGGAAGTCCCCCTCATCCTCGACCTCCTACCCCTTCTCCCCCGCCTCCTCCTCCTCCTCCTGCTGCTCCTCCTCCCCCTCCTCCTCGACCCCTTCCTCGTTTTCCTCCTCCTCCTCCTCCTTCTCCTCCTCCTCCTGCTCCTCCTCAACGTCGGCCTCCATTCCCTGGACTTGTCCCCCGCCCCCTTTCCACCATCACTTCCCGTTTCCCTACTCCTTATTATGGGGCGTCCTTCGATTATGTTGTGAAGACTCTGGGAGGCCATGTCAGGCCTGCATGCGTAAGGCGGCGGCGAGAGAGGGGGGGAAGTGAAAAGAAGAAGAATAATAAGAAGAAGGCCTTCTCAGAAGGCGGTGGGGCTTTGGGGACAGCTTAGAAAGCTTCTCATAAGGCCTGGGGACTTCCGAACCTTCTGAGACGGCCCGCCCATTCTCACTTCCCCCCCGGGGGCTCGCCGCCGAATAAGGCGAGCGAGTGAAGTCGCAGGGCGTGGTGAGAAGTTCACGTTGGCCTCCTAAATACGAATGATTGTGGGCATGCTCGAAAAAAGTTTAGAATGGTAGTTTTGGGCATGGTCGTTTCGGGTCCGGTCGCTGTGGGCTTGCCTAAACGAGTTTAGAGCGGTGGCGTCGCCAAGCTAACCAACCCAGCCTCATCCTCTCCCCCCCTCTCCCTGTCGTTTCCCCGCCTCTCCGCCCCAGAGCTGAGGTCTGCGCATCAAGCTCTCGATGTGCCGGGCCGCGAACCCGGAGATCGCCTGGGGTCAGGGCTGAGTTGCGGCGGCAGGCAAAAACACGGCCGCATGCCCGCAACTGTACGGCGACGGCAGCGAGGGAGAGCAGGCGGACGTCGCGCTGAGGGCCGGGGGGGGCGGTGCTCAGGTGCGCGACGGAGCGGAGCCGGGCCTTGCGCGCGAGATGGCATGGCGACCTTACGCGGTTGCTTATGGCAGGTTCATGTCGTGCCGACTTCGACGTTGGTTCTTGACACCGCGGGGGTCGTTCAACCTTGAACGATCGGCCGCTGCCGAAACGTCCAATCGCTCAACATCGACCGATTCTGGGTTGCCCGCGGCGTCCAACGTTGAACGCCGGCGGCGGGGTCGCGGCCGGTCGACGCGACAAGAACCTACCACGCGCAGGCCGCCAGCGCGGCACGCTGCATCGGAGACGAGGGCGCTTACGCGCGACCTTTGAGGGGCAGCTTACATACGGTGGGGGCATTTTCTCTCTGCGAGGGCAAAATGCCCGTGGTGAGTCGAATTCTATGCAATTCTGCGCTACGCACGCTCGGCCGCGGCTGCGGCCGCTCTCGCCGAGCGAGCCGCCGCCCCGCGGGCACGCGCCTCCTCGGCCGAAGCGAAGCCGTAGGCCGCAGATGGCCGCAGCCACCGACTCGGCAGGCGGCATAATGAGGACGCCGTCGGCAGCGCTGGCGCCCGGGCTCCCGCCTGCGGCCGCCGTGGACGTCCTCTGGCGCCTGGCTGGCCGCTCGTCCTCGCCGTCCTGCGCCGCGCGGGTGTTAGCGGCTGCGCTCGCGCCCAGGTCGCCGTCCGCCGCCAGCCCGAGCTTTTCCGCCCAGCGGCTCCGCACCTCGGCAGTCGGCGCCACGAGCGCTCCGAAGGCCTTCTTCGGCCGTGGCGCTGGCAGCAGGCCGCGCTCGAGGTCGCGGCGCGCCTGCGCCCTCGAGCCCTTGCGAGCTCGGCTGGCGGCGGCTCCTGCGCACTCGTCGCGGAGCCCGCGCCGGCGCATCCCAGGCGTCCTCGCGTGCATGAAGCACGCGGCGCACGCCGGGAACTCACTCACGACGTCTTTGATGGCAATGGGAGTGAGAAGCCAGAGAAGCATCTGACATGTTTTCCACGCCGCTGATGCGCTGACTCAAGGGCCCTGAAAAGGTTTGGGCCAAAGCGCAATGGCACGCTCGCCATGCTACAGTCATGCTGTGCACAATCTGCACAATGCACAAGATGCACAGCGTATATCTCGCACCCGTGAAAGCCCCACCTTCAATATAAAATATGAAATTCGAGACCCCACAAGTTCAACATCTCCTGCACAAGCTGCCGAAGACTGCACAAACGAACGGGCATAAGCAATAGCATAACATGAAATTCAACTTGCGCCTGCAGGATAAATATGACATGCACAATTGCATGGATACTCAATACAAGACTGCATAGGCATGAAATACAAACCTGCGTCTGCAAGCTGAATATGGAACGCACAACTGCAATACAAACTGAGCGTGCAAAATATGAAGCTGCGCTGGTGCGTTGGCTCACTCACCGCAGCCCTTGGGGCTGTCGTCTGCTGTCCGATCGAAGCCGTCCTGCCACTGGTTGGGTTCAGTCGCCCCCACTGAAACTTCGCCTGCTGGCTTGAATCCATGCATCTTGTGACAGAATCGCCGCTGATCTCTCTGCAGCCGGAAGGTGACCATTCTCTGTGCGCCGACTGTCCGCCGTCGCGCCTGCTTGTGGTTGCCGCTCGTCTTCTCGAGGTGGATGGTTCGCTCCTTGTCGATGCTGGTCGTCGCTCTCCACGGTCGTCTCATGCTTGTCGCTTGTCTCAGTCTGGCACTTCACACTGGAATCGTCTCGGTGCTCCGTAAACTCTCGACATGCAAAGTAGACTGCCAGAACTGCCACTGCCATTCCAATCATAGTAAACGCGAATGCATCCCAGAAGCCTCTAGAAAACCATGAACACTTCGCAATCTCACGAAAGTATTACTTGTACTCTGTGTGGTAGTCGAACTCTGGAGTGTAGGTTGCCGCTGACTTGCAACAACACGTCGCAAAGACCGCCAACTGCACGAGTGGTGATCTAGCCTTAGTAGCTGATGGCGTATCCATCTGATATTCTTGATGATTTCCTGTCGCTCCTCCTTGGTCTTCTTCCTGGCTGCCGTATAGGTAGGGTCGTGTTGTAGCTGAAGTCGTCCAGCTCGTTGTCTGTCTGCGAAGAACTGTCTTGCCGCTAACTTCGTGAGACCATCCGCGTACTGCTGCTGTGATGAGACTCACTTCCATTGCGTCTGCGTAGCATCCATCCGCTCTCGTAGTGCCAATACCTCGATGCCGGCGCGCTTGTCCTGGAAGCTGGTGATGCTCGCCTTCTTGGCTGCATCGTAGAGTGCCTTCGCATCGATCACGAGTGCTGACTCTCCTGCGTAGCGCGTGCTCTCGTCAATGTTGACGTTCACGTTGTCGTAGATGAGAGCTGCCCAGAATCGCTTCGCAAATTCTAATGCGTCAATGCAGGCTGCCGCTGCATGGGATTCTTCGTGTAGCGATGACCTGGCTAGTCTCATAAACTTGACAGATTTCCAATCAACAATGCAGAAATCTTAATCCTCGCCGTCAAGTACTTTCGATTGACATGCTATAATCACAGATCCTCCTTGACTAGATCCGTCGCGTCGTACTCCCCAAGCTGCATCTGTCATCGCTACGAGTAAGATGTCGCTGACCTTGCCAATCTTCTTCATCTTGAGACCGACGTACGCGTTCTGCCTGTAGAACCTTAGCGTCCAATGTACCTCTCTTGCTGTCGCCGCCGTCGCCGTTGGAAGCTGTCCTGGGTGAACGCTGACTGAGGCTGACGCATGTGGGCACGCTTGCGATCTTGGCCACTGCAGAGCTCCAGGGAGTCCTCGAAGTTGGCGTATCCTCTGGTGTGAGCGGTCGGTCGTTGCTGCCGTCCTTCTGATCAATCGTGATCGGTTTGAGGTTGGAGGCGTAGGACTGCATCTTGATGTTGATCTCAGTGCCATTTGAGTGCTGATTGTCCCAGTGAGTGGTCTGGTGTAGGTCCGATCTACAATGCTCCATTTGCCCTCCTCGATCCACTTCCGAAACTTGAACTTTCTCTTGGCTGCCTCGATGATGTTGCTGTAGTTGCTGCCGGGCTTGCGATCTCCTCTTCCGAGCAGGTCGTCTACGTAGAGTAGGATCAACCCGTCGCAGTTGCCGTCTTTGTCGCAGCTAACGAAGAGGCATGGGTCCAGGGGGTGCTGCTTGAGCCCGCTGGCTTTGAGGTCGACAACTGCACGTTGCCACCAACGTCGTGGTGCGTCCACGTATCCGTGCATCGGCTTGATCAGCTCCATGAGCGTGTCCGGCTCGATGCCCATGAGGTCTGAGGCATCTCGTGGTACTTCGGTGTAGAGTACTCGTTCTTGCGGCCGTCCCTGGAGGAATGCGGTTGCCACGTCCGCTGTCCACAACCTCCATCCGTTGTTGGCTGCCAGTAACATGGCCAACTGACGTCCCCGTCGGGACGCTGTAGATGATGCCTCTGGTACCTCGCCGTCGAGTGCGTCTGGGTCGTTAAAGCCTTGTAGCGCGAAGCGTGCCTTGGCCCTCGGCGCGCCGTCCTGGTTTTTGGTCTATTTCAATACCCACTTGGCCTTCAGGGTGCGCTTAGGGTCTTCGTCTCTGGTAAGCTTATGAAACTCCCAAACATCATTTCCGACAAACTCCTCAAGCTCCCTCCCCTTGCCATCCATGAATGCTGCTCGCTCGTGTGGCGTCATGGTCCTGGTGCTGATCTCGGCGTAAATGTCATTGAGCTTCGCTTCGTCGCCGTCGAACTCCCATCCGAATGGTAAGTCCTTGTCCTCTAACATGAGCTGCATGGCTGCGAGCTCGTCGTCTGCGCTGTCGTCTGCCACTGGTTGAGACTCTAACGTTGGCACTGATAACGGCGGTCCTCGATATGCTCCTCCAGGTCGGGTACAGATCGAAGCTTCTGCTGCGCCCAATCGCCTGCGACTCTCCTTTAACTCCAAGGTCGCCGTATCGGATGTTTGGGCTGGTGTTTGTGAACTCGACGACGGTGCCGCCGCTGGCCCAAACGTAGCTGGCGCCGGCGTTGGCGGTAGCCGCTGAACAGGAGGTGGTGGTGACTGTGTCTGCGTGGTTGGTGGGGTCGTTGACTGTGCTGGTGGTTCCATAGTCTGAGGTGGGGGTGTCGGTGGTTTTGGTTATTGATATGGTTGTCCTTCGCTTGGCTGTCTTTCTTGTTGAGGCGTGCCGGGAACGTCCTTCGGCTCGCCCTCTGCAGCGCTGGGCGCGCCTGGACTGGGGGGGAGTGGTGGTGCCATCTCCGTTGTTGCCGAAGCTGCTGCTCCAGTGGACGGGGCTCCCCTCTGTCGCCGTGGTGGTGGTTCGTCTCCTGGTCCATCGTCGTCGCTGGCGTCCAAGTCCGAGTCGCCTGGCGCGTCGAACGGTTGCTGTTGTGAACTGACATCGTGGAGCTGCGCGACTCTGGCCCTCCTCTCGGCCTGCGTGAGGTTCTCCAGGAGAACACATCCTTGATCGCTAACATCTGGTCGAAGGCGTTCCAGAGCGCAGCGTAGCAGGTTCGCGCCGTGCACGATCCAGTAGATCCTCGGTCCGCTCTCGTCCTGCCTCATCTCCTTGAAGACCGCGATTGCGGGTCCCCTCCACTTGTTCTCGATGGGCACGTTGGCTTTGCCCTCTCTCTCCAGTAGTAGCGCCGCTGGCCGAGCGCAATCGTGCTCGAGGGCAGCGTGGCGCCGTGGAAGTGCTCGTCGTAGTTTGGCCGAGGCGTCCGCCTTCATAAACGCTGATGCCGCCATTGACCTTCGCTCAAGTACATTATTGAAGTCCTCGTCCTCCTTCATCTGGTATAGGGTTGCTGGCGGGAACTTGTCGCTGGAGTTAGTCATGGTAGTAGTCGGATCCATTCCCCAAACCCACTGGCATGGTGAATGGCCCCTTGTGAAAGCCAAACGGTTGACCTGATGAGGTACATAAATTCAAGCCTCCGCAATCAAATCCTCCGCGATAGCCGCCCTGGCGCCACGGTCGATAACATCTGCGCAATAAAGCCCCACCGCCTCTCGAACAACCAGATGCCGACGTTCCACAACTCCCGAACTGGAATTCGCCTCGCCTGCTGCAGTGACGATCGAAATGCTATGCTGTTCTCAAAACTGCGTGAAACGATCTGGAGCAAAACCTGAACCATCGTCTGTCAGCAATTCTCACATGGGCCCAAATTGCCTGATCCAGCCACGCTCAACTGCCTCGATCAGCTCCTCTGCCGTCTCGGTCTTGATGGTTCGTAGTGCACAGTAGCGCGGGCCCCGTCTATCATCGAAAGAACTGCCGCCTTGCTGGTGCTATTCTAGATCCAGAACTCGTCCGTATAGACGATCTCGTTGAACTTGGCGGCCTGCTTCGCCGACGCATTGGGTGGGCGTTGTCTGGCCATGCCGCGTTCGCACCGATACTGCGATGAACGCTGTAGGATGTTGTCCTGGGCGCCTGCCTGTTGAAGTACTGGGTTGGGGCGTCCCATGTTCCAGCGAAGTCTCTTGACGCAGCGTAGCGCCTCCGTGCCGCACTGTTCTCGCAGGCGCGCGTGCTGGTGAGCTCCGCGACTCGAGTCCGAGCGCTCGGGCTTGGCACCTTCCTCCGATAGCGTTGGATCCTCCGCTGCGCAGATGCCCTCGATCTCCGGCTCGACCATGACTTGCGCCATCGTCGCTGCCAAGATGAACGGGTAGTCCTCTGCGGGTTTGGTGAACTTTCGCCCCTCTAGTAGGTCGTGTCCATGTGATCTGCCGCATCGCTCGTTGAGTGCAGCTGCCATAAGCTTCTTGGTCGTCTGAAGCGTCGTCGGCTTCTTGGCCATGTTCGTGCTGCCCTCGATAGCACGGCTGCGCATGCAGTGGTCGAACGCGCTGGGTTCGCCGTGTAGGTGGCTGAACGCCGCGGTGTGCCACGCCCTCGACGTAGCTGGATGTCCGATGCGAGCATGTCGCCCTCCGTGCTGCTGTATGCAACGCACCTTGGCCACGAACTGTAGATGTGCTAGATGATGCCATTCTCGTAGCTCGGTGAGGTACTCCTTCCAGCCGGGG